GCCACAGAAATCCAACTTGCAGAAGTCAAGTCACAACTTTTATATGTTTTGAGCTCAGGAAACTGGGATGCAAGGTGTGAAACCTGTTACATGCAATAATTAAACACAACTGTCATGAAACTTGAAAAAACACCAGTTTTACGCACTGCCGTCTAAATTAGAGAACTTGCCTTATCAACCAGAGGTTCACGCCCATAAGGCTGATCCTTAGCAAAATACTCAAATACGAGAAGGCCAGAAGGGTTCCTGATCTCATCTTCATCACCAGACAGTCCCGAGAATGGATTATGTGCTAGTGAGATTCTGCTCAATCCTTGAGCAAGTGTACTAGTATGGTGCTGCTGCCTCTCAGTTCGTTGAGCACTACTGCTTCCTCCATCAGCTCCAATTTCCCCACTACTATCACTACTGGTCTCCCTGGAAGAATCAGCATCACTTTCCTCACCTGGCCTCCTGTCATAGTATTAGCCCCAGAACAGAAATTGAAAAGAAAACAATTAGTCCACTGGATTCAACATGCAAAGGCGTTAACCTATTTCATGACCAAAAACTCATGCAACTAAAGGCATACACAGCCCAATTAACTAATAGCCTTGGCAACTACATCTTTCAACTGAACTCGAACTACATTGTACTACCCAACATCAATTCTTTCGTGTGAAATACCTGGTAACTACTTGGAAACCTGATATATTAAAGACTACTTTTTCTAACATAAATTTTAGTAAATTCACTAATCTCCAAAAATCTCAGGTACTCACAGCTCAGGCTTGGCTTTCTTTCAAATCAGTGCACTCATTTCACTATCATGGTCATATTTATGAATGCCTCTAGTTGAGAACTCTTTTTCTAAAAGCTCCACGAAGTAAAGGATCAAGGGCAAAAAATGAAACATGATGAAAGAATGAATCTAGTAATGTGTACTCCTAATTCTTCAACTTATTAATGAACTATTTGAGTTGGCTTCATATAAAAGCATTTGGCTACATAAAGAACTTTTAAACCAACCTATGCAGTGACGAGCATTCTCAGCCAAAAAAGAAAGTATACATTTACTCACAAGTAAATCATGCACCACACTAGCTAGAAAAGAACAGAGAGATTTGACAAGGTCCAAAACCAGGAATATGTAAGGTGGCTGTAAGATGAGCCTCCTAATTACACGCACAGTGTCTTGGTTGCATAAATGGCAAGAAATGAACCATGGAATTCAGCAGAGAATGACCAATTTCAAACTCTACCAACCTGCCACACACACACATATGCTCACACAAAAGGATAACAATTACAAAAACAATAAGAAAGGATATCATAATGCTTGTACAGATAGTGGCAGTCTGTTTTCCGGGCAAACAACTAACACACCAGCATCTTGTCAACAAAAATCATTCAAGAATCGAACTGAACTCAACTTCCTTTCATCTTTATAAATAACAGACAAATTCAATTTACAGCACATAGCACAGAAGGCATGTGTCATAAAGTGTACCTTTGCCTCATGACAGGCTTTGACGGATCTATGTACAGTTGTATGCCAGACAAGAAGGGGACGTAATACTGGACTACAGTCTCGCTCCCATTCAAGATTAAAGGAACTCCGGCTCCATACGCGCTCCACTCCTTGAAAGATTCCCACAGATCACCCAGAACAAAGTACGGATGGAACTCGTCATCATAGTTTCTCCATTCCCTCATGGTTGTCTGCAAATCTCCAAAGCCATTAGGTTAATTACAGTTGCAAACAGGCCACATTCAAGAATAGCAATAAATGGACAAATAAATTTGATGTTCGTTTTGCTCATTCCAAGAAAGCAATTATTATTATCTTGCACAAAAAGACTAGAAGAGGCATACAAATTAGTCCAGAGGAACACAGTCTGGAATGAGCTTCAATAAACCATGGACAATGAGAGATAGAAAAGGAATGCCAACCAATGAGGGGGAAGGAGTGGTAGTTTCAGTTTTCTTTGATAGTTATAACACATACAGTCAAAGAATCCCAATTTAAGTACCCAAATATGAGGCCAGAAAGAAAGTATGATGAATCATATTACTAATGGCAAACCAATGTTCTACAGAGCACACCATGCCATTAGCCCCAGCAGACTCCCAACTAATTAGACACAAAAGGAAACACTATGAACTAACAGTGACACTCTTAGTGCTTATGCTAAAATTGGACCATGCAGTCAGCTTTGAGGCCGTTTAAGCACAAAGAGATTGCTGTGGCCCAGAGTTTCATTAGGTTTGAAGCCGTGATTGGCAATCTAACAATGGAAGCTCTTAACTCTATGTGGTCATGAGCTGCATGTCCACACATAAGGAAAGACTTGATGTGCCCAGCCCCACGTTGCAATAATAAGTAAAATTAAAACAAAAACTCAGCTGGCATATGAAATGACTCATTGAAACACTTGACGTGGGCACGTGGCGCACATTGCGCAATAATTAGTAACAAGAACTTGTTGCATTTATAATGTTATCCTAGATGACATCCAATAACAACTAATCTTACACAAAGCATTCCGAACCCAAAATTGCATGACTCTCTCATCAAACAAAATCCTAGGGGCTTCTTCTTCAACAGTCCACATGCTGCTGACATGTACCGCATTTTAACCAAGATATTCCAACAGTATCAAAGATGTATACACAAATACAACTCTCCTTGATAACCTCTATTGAACGACATTTCCATGTTCAAACAACCAAACAGCCAAAAAAAGAAAGTAGAAAACCGTATAAGTTTTCATCCTAATGTCAGTTCCATCTGTGCGTCAAAGCACTAGATTACAATACTTGTCTTACTTATACTTGCATGCTAAGTAACATAACCCCTCTTTGTTCTCTATTTGGCTTCCTCCCCTTCTTTTACACCCGTTAGACCATGGAAAGAGTAAGCAGAACAAGAAAATCATAAGATTGCAAACAAAGAAATTAACAATAACATGACAACAGAATTCAGCATTAAAGCGCCAAGATAGAAATGCAATAATCGGATAGCATTCAAACTGAACAATGAAAACAGAAAAAGGAAAATGGACAACGTTTTCATCCGAACGTAGAGAAGAACTTCAGTCCCACCTCAAAAATGAAAATAGTGCTACTTTCCATTGTAATTTGACTTCTCCATGAACCGAACAGGCATAAGATCTACACCTTTACATTTCAAGAACTTTATCATCAAGACTTAAAACCCCAAGGAACAACACATTCTCCCCTCATTATCAAAGCCCCAGTCAAGAAGCTTAGAAAAGTAACAAATAGGCCATTTCTAAGCAACAAATAGGCCATGCCGGAAACAGATTCTTCAGGAAGCCATTTCTGATAATTTCCAAGAAATTCTACCTTGGGAAAAAACTGAGCTGGAACACTAGGGGCAGTATGCTCTATAAACCGCTCCAAGTTAGTCAAATTCTCCACTGCCGGGGAGTGAACCGACAACATCCTCGGGTCCGCCGCCGACGCCCCTATCTTGGTCGATGCTGACGAGGTCGTCCCATCATCCGAACCCGTCCCGGACCCAGCCCTTTTCACCGGGGCAAATCTCAACTGTTTCTGTTGGTGTTGCGGCTGCTGGGTTTTCTGTTGCTGTCTCAGTGCCGGCGGACTATAAAATCTGTCCTCCCCACCTCCCCTACTTCTAATCCTACTATAATCCCCCATTATTCAAATTCAAAACCAAAAAAAAAAAAAAAAAATCTTTTTAACTAAACAAACAGTTGGAATTATTTAATCTTATGGGTTTTGAGAGGGGTTTAAGTAAAATTGAAGTGAAAATTTTTGAAGGGTCCTGTTCAGGAGAGTGATTCAGAGTGTGTGAAAAATAGAGTGAGTTTGTCGGTGGGAGTTGGTGAAAATTTTCGTGTTATACTGTTATGCTTATGTAGTAGTCGTGGCGAGTCGAAGTAGACGAGCGAGCCAAAAGTGCCTCGAGAGAGGAGGAGAGAGCTTTGGGGGTTAATGGAAAATGAAGAGAGTACACCGTTAATGTGATGGACCATCTTCTAGAGAATTCGAGATTTAGTTACCAAAATCAGCCTCGTGGAATTGCCAGGTGTACCAACTTCTTTCTTTTCTTTTCTCCCCTTTTTGCTAAATACCACGTGTATTCAACTTGAACTTACAAAAATTTTGTTAGAAAATGATTTTTTTTTTTAAAAAGAAAACATTATTGAACTTACCAAATTTTGTGAGAAAGAATTTTTCTTTTTAAAATTTTCTTTTGAAAGTTAATTTTTTGAAGCACTTATGGTAAGGGTTAGTTGATTAAACGCCCGAGCGCAATTTAGGATCAAGACATCATGATTGATATTTTATCCAAGTACAAAAGCCAGTCCATTATTGCATATTGAATGTACGAAGACAATTATGAATGTACATATTCAAGGGAATTCATATTCGTGCTTTCATTTTAACCCCTTAGCCTTCAATCCACTCACTAAATAATATGGCTTCAAGGAGTGTAAGCGACTAATTTGGCAGTGCAAATATCACATACCTGCAGTGATTATCATTCAAGTTGTCCGTCATGTGGTTTAGATTTAGTTAAGTAGTTGTAAATTCGATAGTTGGTGAATTCTCGGGTTAGGAAGGTAATGAATTTGATTAGTTCCTCGATGACGAAAATAGGACGGTAGATGTGGCTCTATATGAGAGTACTGTGACACTTTCTATAGTGGAAAAACTAAAATTTTAGTCTTTCGAGTCATTCCCGCAATTGCTTAGCAGTAGTATCATGTTTTGGAGTCAAGAATAGGTGAAAATGTGGTACAAGTCAAGAAAGATTCAGCTGAAAGGATTTGCGTGCCCTAAAATTGAGTACTTTCAGTCAGGAATCGAAGAAGTTTTCAATTTCATTGCATGCCTTGAAGAAAGATGTTGCAGTAACTTTCATGTCCCCCAAGTGAAAATGACAAAATGACTTTTCTGGGTAATGGTTAAGATGTTTAGGTGTGTGAAATTTCTTTAATTTGTACTGGTGAGTTTTGATAAGAGCAATGGTGGGGTGCCCAAGCCTGATGCAGAGAAGTAATAAATACGGAAGGTGTCAATTGTGTGGAGCTGATCACATCCATGGTCTGAGCCTGAACTGGAGATGCTTGTCTTTAACAGAAGAACACAGAAACAAAAGCAAAGTTTCTATCGTGTTAATAACTAAAATGCTTAATATATATACTACGTAGGAATCCTTCAAAACTGATATCATGTTGAACTTAGATAGAACAAGGGCTTGCTTGGTCAACCGGCCTAAATGTCACCACTTTTAACTTTGGTTGTGAAAGACACGAATCACAGAGCAGAACAAGTCACTGCAGATGAGCAAGTAGTTCATAAGACATGATGGATAATCCCTGAGGGAGATGGTGGGGCTGGAACCATCAAGCTGACCACTTTTGGAGAAGGCCAGTAGTCTTACACTTAAATTTTCTTTGTATAGAACTCGTCAATCAAATAGGAAAATCGACTGATCCTAACACTGCAGGTAGCCAGTTCACGAGCGTGAAGCACAGAGTCGACAAGCTTGACACACAAAGTTTCACTTGCAAGTACAGCACAGTGGAAGGTGACGCTTTGATGGGCGTGATTGAATCAATCTCTTATGTGATCAAGATTGAGGAATCTCCAGAGGGAGGATCCGTTTGCCAGATTACAGAAGAGCAAATAAAGAGTGGCAAAGAGAAGGCATTGGCAATGTTCAAAGCAATGTTCAAAGCAGTTGAAGCTTACCTGCTAGCTAATCCTGATGCTTACGACTATTTGCTATCATCTCATTGTTTTATTACTCTACATTGTAATCCAGTGTGCAATACAGGGTATATATATAACTTCACCTGTACACTAGTTTCTTGCTCCTGAAATCTCTTCTCACACTGTACTGAAATTCCTCCTGAATTCCACTTGTCATGAGTGCTTAATCTGAGAAAGTCCACGACAAAGCAAAAGGCCGAGAAGGACATTCCACAAATCAATTAGATTGATGAGTCACGTCTCGTGAGTCGTGAGTGATTGCCCAGACATGATAGAAACAAACCTAAAGTACTTAGACACAGCTTCTTTTGGACTTCGCAGTTAAATCTATTACAGTTAATGCCAAAATCATGGACTAGAAACTCTATCTTTATCTCTTTGCTAGTTACTCAAAACTGAACAATAGTGGACGAAGAAAAAGGCGGCGGTTTTAATCTTCTGACTCATATATTATCAAGTTCGTGAAACATTGAAAACTAGCCTGCATGGGAAAGAAAATAAATTTTACCTCGATTGGTAGAACAGATATTTCTAGTTTGCGTTTAGTGTTTTCTGCTATAATGGTATAACTTCTCAAACTTTTGATGTCTGCTCATCATGCATTAAGGATATCGTCGTTTTCATTTAAAATGAGTTGTAACCAATACACACGCATACATGCATGTATTTATATTTACATATATGGTACGTAGTTGACTGATTACTAAAAAAGAGCCCAAAAAAAAAAAAATTATAGAATTATCATCAACATGCTGTAACCTTGATTGGAAAGGATGTTTTCTACATAAATTGACGGGTTGCATGACTCAAAATCGGATGGAATTGAAATTCTTTCGAACATGACTGTAGCTGGTCAAGTGCGTGAGAAACTTCGCAACGATGAAAATCTATAATAAATTCTTCATCCGTAAGTTAAAATAACTCTTGTTCTCTTCTGTCCGCGATTAACTTGGATCCATTGTGGTCTAGTAACAACACGTATATACTCATTTCTTTTTGAATGAGAGACACTTGATCCTCAATGTTTTTCCTTTTCAAGTTATATTATTGTTTTTAAAGAGCTCAGCCGGTGATCACATACGATAGTATCCTGTAGGTCATCTAGTTCGAATCTTGTTGTACTAAATTGTTGTGTATCCTTGAGCGGAGCTCTGTACAGTCCTCCCAGGAATATCGTGATTGGTGAACCAGAATCGCAAGTTGAATTTTGCCAAATTCAAACTCATACTTGTAATTTTTACAACATTCAAAATTTACATTCAAATATTGGTATGAATTTTTATTAAAAATTTAATAAAAATTACAAGAACTAATTTGAACATGTCAGTATATATATATATATATATATATATATATATAATTAGTTATTTTCATGAACTAGTACTTTTTTTTTTCAAAATTTTTCAGTTTAGGCCCTGCTATTTATTAGAAGATAATGCTAGAAAAAGAAGGAAATATATATTTTTTTTTAAAAAAGAAAGATATCTTGGAGACACAGCTTGATGCTGTAAAGTAGTGTATTCCATAAGAGAATTCTCATCTTTTGCAAAAAAAATGCTAGTTCGATTTTCACCTCTTCTTCATTCTAATTTTTCCCCCTAATGGCAATATACATTGCAAATATCAAACCCTTTTTCCCCAATATCTAGAAGATGGCCCCGGCCTCCAGCCTCTCATTTTGTATATTTTTCCCCCTTTTTATTTTTAAGGGTCAGAAATTTGGGCTGCCATAAGATATGACGGACTGTACTGTTTACAATAGCATTTTCCCTTTAGTCAACAATTAAAGTCTTGCCGCACCATTTCCTGGAAATGTCCCATACTTCCTGGAAGAGCTTTCATTATTAAGTCAGAAAAATGGGACGGCACTGTCAAGCAGAAGAGTATGATGTCGTAAAAATAATTTGGGAAAATTAAATTTTGAAAAAAAAAAAAGGAATACGAATATTAACAATCTGATATTAGGTTGTAAATAACTCGCGAATTAAATTAAGGCAACTAATAATTTTATTGCAAAATGACTGAATTACCCTTACGCCGCACGTGCAAGTGCCCTTAATGCGCGCGTAAGGGTTAATTTGTAATTTAGATTGCAACAAAATTTTTTATAATTTATGAATAATGACCCTGACCTTGTGTACAAATTTCCTAAAACTTATACCTATTTATGAAATTCTCTCTCTTTCCAAAATTTTCAATGAAATTAAAGGAAAATAATTGGGTCAATTATACCAACACTGTAGCAAAAATATTGGCGTATAATCTTTTGACTTTTTTGCGTATGAACCGGGAAGGAAGACCTTGACCCACAGAAACAGCACGACACGTACATATTTTAAATTTTAATGCCCGTTTCAGTCATGAGATGAGAAGCCCTGGATTTTTCGCTCCATAAATACTGCCCCAAACTATCGTGCACCCACCCGCCAGCCAGCCAACCAACCAACCAAGTTAGACGTCTTCCCACTCAACAGTAGCTAGCTTCATTCGCTGTCTATCTTTTTTGAGTTCTTTTTCTGGGTCATTTTTTCCTTTCAACTTCTCGCAGGTATCATGGGTGTCATCACTTACGATCACGAGGTCACCTCCTCAGTCCCACCAGCAAAGCTCTTCAAGGCTTTCATCCTTGATTTTGACAACCTCATCCCCAAGATCTTGCCTCAGGCCATCAAGAGCGTCGAAACCCTCCAAGGTGATGGCGGAGCTGGAACCGTCAAGCTCACCCATTTTGGTGAAGGTCAGTACGTAGTACCTCCTGCTCTACCCATCATCATCATCATCATCATCATGCAACATATGCACAAGTACTCTTTTAATTCAATTGAACTACAAATATATTATTCATACTAAAACAAAACAGGCAGCCAATACAAGAGCATGAAGCACCGCGTTGATGAGCTCGACAAGGAGAATTTCGCGTTCAAATACACCGTGTTCGAGGGCGATGTTTTGGGGGATGTGATTGAGAAAACCTCTTACGAGGTTAAAATCGAAGCCTCTGCTGACGGTGGATCCATTACCAAGAGCAAGAGCACCTACTACACCAAGGATGATGCCAAGATCACCGAAGAGGATATCAAGTCTGGCAAAGACAAGTCCGCTGGAGTCTTCAAGGCTATTGAGGCTCACCTCGCTGCCAACCCTGATGCCTACTAATCAGTTCCACTCTTGGGAACTCGATCGGTCTTGCCCCTTGGGAACAGATTTTCTAACGCTATTGGGCGCTGCTACAACTTACAAGTTGAGTCACCTTTGGGTCGGGACCCGATAAGCTCAGGCTAGTTTAGTCATCAGCCACGTTTTGAGGCACCTGGTAAGAGGTCTCATCAGCTTTGATTGGTTGAATCCAAGCCAACTATGAAGGACACTGATCTAATTGAGTTGGCATTTGAATGGGTCAACTTTTGCACTGATTGGAGACTGGATGGCAATTAGACTAGGACTCTTTGCTTTCTTTAAAGTCCAGAAAATTAACGTTCTGGATTACATGTATGTAAACAATCAAGCTAGTGATAGCGAAACTTGATCTTGCAAGAAACTGCTAGTTTTCAAGAATCACAATTGTGTAAATAGTTTGTGCCAAAATCGTCAACAAAAGCACGTTGTGTGAACGCTAGATGCATTTGTCAAATATATGCTGGGGCCTATTTTGCAAATTAATAACAGGATGTCTGCTGCAACAACCAGACTTTTCGGCCATTTAAAATGCCACTCTCTACTCCTCTTGCCCTTCACCCGCTTTTCACAGCGAAATCAAAACTTAGAACCAACTTCGAAATTAGTTTTTCTGTGGTATATAACCTCAGCCCAATACAAGTTTAGTCTTGAATCAGGATATAATTCATTAGGGGTTTGTAGGATGGAAGAAATTGAATGAAACGTCAGCCTGTAGAACTCTTGGAGGATAATATGCAAACTTTCCATAGCTCAATTTTAAAGTTTTATAGGATTACTAAGTTGCAACATTGTTAAAATAGTATCTAGACAGCAGTTATGTTGGCAGCTGTGGTGATGGATCAGCAATACTTCCAGTTGCTAGTAACGAGTTTATAACTATAAAAAAGCCAGCATATAATACAAGAAGAAGAAGAAGAAGAAGAAGAAGAAGAAAACAGGCCCTTCAAGTTCAAAACTTGATATGGCAGCAGGATACTATGGTCTAGCATTGCTCACATGACATGTAATTGCCAAAAAAAAAAGGTACAAAATCTATTTTTAAAAGAAAAAAATGTGGGAATTACAGATTTGTTATGCATATGTGGTTCTAAATGGCATATATTGAATAGCTGAATTTGTTGCAACAAAAGTTGTTGGTTCTATCCCACCTCAATAGGCTAACAACAGGAGTAATGGGCTTGTAACTTTCGCATTTAAATTCCTCACTAGATTTTACCATCTAGTAATTGATAATCTTTAATGTTACCAAACAATGGTGAAGTGCGTGAATGATGAAGCCATGTTTCACTTTTCAGTCTATAAATAGAATCGCATCTCTCACATTCTCTTCACACCCCAAAATTGCCAAAATTGTCATCCCATTCTAGTAGTTCAGCATCTTTAAAACTTCCTAGGAGATCAATCATGGGTGCTGTTACCTTCACTGAAGAGTTCACCAGCACCATCCCGGCCTCCAGATTGTTCAAGGCCTTGATCCTTGATTCTGACAATCTCATCCCCAAGATTGCTCCCCAAGCTGTAAAGAATGTTGAGCTAATCGAAGGCGATGGAGGCCCTGGAAGCATCAAGAAAATGAACTTTGGAGAAGGCAAGACAATTAATTCTACTCTTGACATGGTTCATTAACAATATTTACCAATGTGTAGATTAAGATGGAATGTACTTTGGATATATTTTTTTTTTTGGGTAACATATGCAGGTAGCCAGTTCAAGTATGTGAAGCATAGGATTGATGCAGTAGACAAGGAGAATTTGACCTATGCTTATACCCTGATTGATGGCGATGCTCTGATGGACAAGCTTGATTCAATTTCTTATGAAATGAAGTTTGAGCCTTCTCCTGATGGGGGTTGCAAAGGCAAGAATGTTAGCACATACCATACAAAACCAGGTGTGGAGATCAAAGAAGAGGAGATCAAGGATGGCAAGGAAAAGGCTGCAGGGGTCTTCAAACTTGTGGAAGCCTACCTTTTGGCAAACCCTGAGGCCTATGCATAATTTACCTAATTTTGCATGTTTATTTGGTCTAATTTATCATTCTGGATGGATAATGAGTGTTTGTATGCCAATAATCTTGTGAGCTTCTAATAATGCTCTTGGGCATTATTAGAATTAGAAGAGTCTGTGTTGGTCTCTATGTTAATCCTTTTCCCTTTTAAGTATGTTGCGGAAATGCTGGTTACTGAAAAGATCAGATTATTCATATCGATCAATTTCTGGATGGAACCTAAAGTTAATATTTGTTTGCTACCGCAAAGTCTCTTTTCCTAAACCTATGTTTACTTTGTAATTCATGAATGCATGGTTTCAGTTGAGGGAAGATTAAAAAGGACAAACTTAAGAAGATATAGTAATTTGGGTTCAGAATCAGATGGTACTTAATTTTCACAACCAGGATATGTGCTTCGGCAGTGTTTGTATGGCAAAGATCACCATTTTACAGCCTGAAAATGACACAGCCGTGTTATTTGGATTCAAGTGAACAAAGTGTCAATTGGGAAGTTCGGCTTGGTCTCGTAGAAGTACTCCACCATCGGTTACTACTTCAGTTTTCTAGTGCTTTAAGTAATAATAAAGCCAAAGTTCTCACTTCATTTTTTCCCTAAAAAACGAACCTATATACCTAAAAAAAAAAAAGGAACCTATAAGGAAGCAATTGATTCGGTTTTATTGGGAAGCATCCAAAATGGTACAATTTGGACTGATTTAATTCAGGGTATCAATACTTTAACAGTTTGAATAATCTAGTAGTATGCAGACACAAGATTTGTGGAGATTGACCTTCTGGTTGAGAATTTGCTGATTCTTTCCTGAGTACTGGTAAGGGAATGCAACATTGTAGAAGTGTAAGCTGAAAGTCTTTAGTGCCTGCCATGGTTCTACTTCCCCTATTTTCCTCCTAAAAAACAGTCAGGCAGGGTGTAACATCCGAGAACAAGTGAGAGTTGTCATTTAGATTCTCTAGGAAGGTTCAACAGGATGCGACAAAAACGAGAATCTAGTTAAGGATAGAGTAGTAAAAGTTAAATTGCACCTGTAGGATTAATTATTGGATAGAGAATGCCATTAATTTTGCGACAGCTCTTCTTTGGATTCGAATTTATCAGGTAAATTGAAGCCTCTAGCTGTTTGGAACCAAGTAGATTCAGCATTTTCGTGCTTCCTTCTGAAGTGGTTTTCAAGATTGATCCATCTCGCCTTGAGGTGATCACATTTGTTACACAATGGCAATCCCTTTGGAAGCTTATCCTATCTAGAATGGCAGGCATAACTGAGAAGAATTTGGATGTGTCTGCCTAGAATTTGGTTAAGATCCAACCAAAGCATTCTTCCGCTGAACTTATAAATAGTGCCATCTCCCTGAAGCATTTCCCCATCCAACAAAACAGTTTATTCTTTCTGATTTCTGTGTAGCTTTACTCATGGGGATCATCACTGCGTCTGATGAATATACTTCTGTAATCCCTCGTGAAAGAATGTTCAAGTCCTTGATTCTTGATGCAGACAATTTGGTGCCTAAACTCCTGCCACAGATCATTAAGAGCATTGACATTGCTGAAGGCGATGGCGGGGAAGGAACCATATATCAACCAAATGAACTTTGCTGAAGGTAGATTCTTAGCCTACATGAAACTTTGATTTCCCTTTGGGTTTTTTTTTTCTTTTTTTTTAATATCTCATTTTCAATTTCAAGAGATTGCAAATGCTTTACGCATTGGTATTGCAGACCTTTTAACATATGATCCATGACATGTAACCAGGAACTCATTTCAAATCCATAAAGCATCGAATTGACTAGATCGATGTGGAGAATTGCATATACAGTTACGCTTTGATTGAAGGTGATGCCTTGGGAGGCAAACTTGAGAAAATCTCGTATGAAGCTAAGTTCGAGGCTTCACCAGAAGGAGGGACCATTTTCCAAAATGACCAGCAACTACTACGTCTTGGATGATGCTGCAGTTACCGAAGAGGAAATCAAGGCTGGTAAAGAAAAGGCCATTGAAATCTACAAAGCAGTTGAAGCCTATCTCCTCCAAAACCCTGATGCCTATGTTTAATTCTATGTTTCTTCAAAGTCTGAGACAGAAGTCGATCTTTATGTCCTGTCATTTGCTCCCTCTTGCTTTGAAGAATAACTATGTCAGCTAGTCCTCAGAAATTCCGGAGTGTGATTTTTCAACCTTCCTGTAATTCACTCATAGTTTTTCTAGCATGCAACTCTTTCGCCTTTGTTACCTCTAATGATCTTTGAATGCATATCCAGTTGAGTAACCAACTTTGAATCATGTGGTATCAAGAATATTTGAAACTCAAAGTGAATTAACATATCTAAGATGAAACTTATACTAGTGTTATAACTTCCTGCAACATGACTACGTAAGTTAAGTTCAGTGTAGTTAAGTTTCTTGGATATAACTTGGCACACAATTATGTCCAAGAAAATGAAATTTTTATTTCTGCAAAGAAGAAAAAACTATAACTATACTATTTATCTGGTATATATCTCAAAACAAAGAGCAACAGTTTCCAACAATAATTAAGTGCAAAATTTATTCAAGTATAGGCACGAGGGTGTGCCAAAAGATAGGCTTCCACAACCTCATACATCCCAATAGCTCTGTCCTTACCAAGCTCAATTTCTTCCTCTTTGATCTCCACATTTTCTTTGGTCTGGTACTCGGATGTTATCTTACAAATGCAGCCTGAATAGCCGTAGGGTTCAAATTTAACTTCGTAAGAGATCCAATCCAATTTGTCCATCAAAGCATCCCCTTCAATCAGAGTGAATTTAACCATGTAATGCTCCTTATCCAGAGCATCAATTCTGTGCTTCACATATGTGTAGGGGCTAGCTGCATCACAAAATTTTCAACAAGAAGAAAAATACATGATTACATCTTTCTGTAGGATTTTGCAGCAAACCAACTTGAAATTTAAGACGATACCGCTTATTTGACTAACCTTCTGTGAAATTCATTTGCTTGATGCTCCCAGCTTCACCATCTCCTTGCAGATATTCAATGCTTTTGATTGATGAAAACATGAGCTTTGGGCAAAGGTTATGGGAATCCATGATCAGGGCTTTGAACATCCGATCTGGGGTAACTTGAGTCTTGAAAGACTGAGATACCTTGATGATTCCCATGTCTGCTTTCTTTTTTAACGGAATGTGCAAGCTGGAAAGAATTAGTTAGAGGTTAAGACTTATAATAGAATAGTATAAAAATCGGGTATACGCTGGAGACCTCTATATGCATCAAGTGGGAAAGTTTAAGAGAAGACTTCAGGTCTCCTTTTTCCTAGTTTCCTTCCAAATCTCCTAAACTTATCCTAGTTTAGTCTTCCTTACTTTTCCAACATAAAAAAGTCATCTCATCTTTTCTTTTCCATCCTAGACTTCCAAACCAGCCGTTGGTAAACAGATTACAAAACCAAAAAGGAAAAA